GGAGTATTTGGTTTAAGTTTAGTGACTAGGTACTCTTCTATACGGACGTGGAGAAGTCCATCCGTTTCGCCAGTGTATTCGTCTCCGCACGCTTTACAAGAGATCGGAGGAACTGCACCCGAACTCATACCATCACCGTCTCTACCGCTAGGGTAAATTTTGAGATATTGCGTTTTTCATAGACGGTGATATAAGTGGTTGCGAACCAGCCGGCGCCTAAGAGTACTCGGTGGCATTTCAATCAGTGTTGCCGAATTTTCTAGACCCGACCCTTCAACGTTTCCGCGCTGCACTTATTTCATGTAAAATGAAAGGCAAGGTAAAAGGTACCTTATTGTCGTTAGAGTTGTCGCTTAGAGGCTTGTATTTTTGTGCACACCTATCTCGAGAAGCTACAGTTTTCCAATCATTAAAAATGGCTTTTGGTCTCGCCAGGTTCCGGGACCCCTCCTTTTCCTCTCCACCTGCCACACCCTGATTGGTGTTCGAAACATGTTTCTTATAAGCACCTTTTTGTGTGTGAGTGGTGAGAGGAGAAGCAATGAACCAGTATGCTCTTACTATTTGGTCTTCATTACCGCTCCACAATTTAGCATCTTTCGGACAGGTCAATTTGAACGTTCAGGAATGTGAGTCAGTTTTCTTTCGGCTTATTTCTCTTGGGTGAATAACGTACTCTGACTATTCATTCAATAACTCAAAACGTTTGTCCGTTCCTTCTTGTGTTGTGCAAATGACGAAGCAATCATCTATATATCTACAGTAAAGTAATGACTGCAAATCGGTTACTCTTGCTTCCACCTTAGAAATAAATGCGATGGCAAAGCTTGGAGCTTGTCGTTACCCCATTACGCAACCTTTCGTTTGTGCGTAGTACGTCCTGGACCATCTAAAGATTAAGTAGTTTAGGCACTCTTTTGATGAGATCATGAATTGTTGAATCGACAGTCCATACATGCTTTTCTTCAATAAGCAGACACGAGACTGTTATTACAGAATTTATCAGGATACAGTAGCTGACGCTTCGGCGGTTTCGCCTTCTTGAGAACCTGAAAAGGTCAAATTGAGATGCGACCAACTCAGCCAAACACTTTCATAACCCTAACAGATAAAACTTAACAAATAAATCTGTGCAAATGATCGAAATAAAGATCGATAGAACTAGCTGAGAGACAGGCAAAACGAAGGACTCGGATGGTGTGGTGGTGAAGTGCGCTGCTCCCGGGTAAGGACAACAGCGCGTGTTCATTCATTCCCCACCGCATACACCTGCGGTCCGGAGTTTTGCAAATATCTCAGCATTATATACAAATAAATTTGTATTCGCATAAGAAACGGCTTAATTTAAACACCTACCGTTTATTCGTCATAAGTATTTAAGTTAGTCAGTGGATAGCAGCCGCACAGAGTAATACACGGACGAGGACTGTGTCTATGTCAGGTCATTCGATTAGCCTGAGGTATGGTGCCAGGTCACGCGTGATGACAGGTCCCCCTTGCGGTTCATTCTCAAACTTTTGGAATTGATCGAAGGCGCTTCAAGAGTTTTACGCGCTGGTGTTTTCGATTTCTGCGAGTGACTCCTACTTCAAAATATTTTCCGTTGTGTTTCTGCATCCCATGTCGCCTAGTGGAGTGTTTTGTTTTAATTTAGATTTACCGACTAGGTCTTCTCTTATGCGGACGCAAAACGGTCTACCTCTTTCGCCAATGTATTCGTCCCTACACGTTAACAAGAGATTAGCTACACCGTACCCGAACTTACGCAATCACCGTCTCTACCGCTTGGGCAAATTATGCAGTTTTTCGTTGCACACAGACAGTCATACGGGTGGTTGTGAACTAGCTGGCGTTTGAAATAAAGAGTAAGAGGAACGGAGTCTTGAAGAAGGCGAATCCACCGGAACGTCAGCTATTTTATAGTAATAAATTCTATAATAACAACCTCGTGTTTGCTTATTGAAGAAAACATCGAATTAACAATCATTGCCGAGGTTAGCAGAAAGTCGGTCCTGGGAATCCGTACGTGTTTACTAGTCTTTCGTGTTGCATAATAAACTCACAGATGGCTTGAATAGCGAAGTCGTTCGACACGTTAGTGTAAACGGAGGTGACGTAACGTCGAAGGACTCTCTTATGTACGCGTTGTTAAGATGCGCCTTAGTTAGACGATCAAGGAACATCTGGGTGTTCATTAGATGGGCTGGAATGTCTTTTAACAACTGGGTAAGTATTAGAGTTAGAAACCACGTTATTCTATCTGGTGGGCCAACTACACAGCTAATAATAAGTCTAGCCTTAAGTAACGATGGATCGGTAGATACAAGGCCACAACGGAAATTAACTTATAAGTTCTGATAAGTGGGTACATAACGGGACACGTTGGTAAATCAACTTTGGGTTGAGAGGTAACTCATGGTTTTAACCCAGTTTTCTCGTTCTACTACTGAGCGTCTTTTTAGAAGTGCGATGATTCCGAGGATAGATGCTGTACTCTTACGCAGATTTTAGAGCTCAAGGATATTCAATCGGCACTATGAGCTCTCTGCGTAAGCAACAAATCTTTGTCTCATGACAGTGCTTCAGCAGCTTGTTTTTTTTTGTCTTTTCGTTGGTCTTATGAACGATATTGTAATGAGGAATTGTTGTCATACGAACATGTTTGGATGCTCTGCCACGTGAGACTTTCCTACTTTGTTGCCAAACCATATCTCAAAATTTGGCAGTTAAACGTTTGTATACACAATATGCAGCAAAAAAAAATAATGATATAGCAATGTTAACTAAGGTATGTATAAAGAATACATGCAGAAACGCGATTAATAGTGAGCGGTGGTACAACGAGCAAGGAGGAGCAGTAACAATAATAAATTCGCTTCTGCAATACAGTGTTCAAGTGAAACAAGGAAAACGGGTAATACCACACAGCGTTTTTTAAGAAGATGGCCGAGTGGTAGCGCCACAGGTTGTTGTTAGGAATAGGCCAAAAAATCATTAGCGATCTCCAAATAGCACTCATGAAGCGACTGGAGTTAGTGTTAGAGAATAATGAAAGTTTTTGCCCAAAAGAATGTAGTACAATGGGTGGAAGAAATTTCTGCGCTTTAAGAGGTGTAAGGATTTTGTGAGATTCCTGCCAAACATGGTCTTAAGCCCACCACTTTTCATGGGCGAAAAGTAATTCCGCAATAGAGGAGACAAGAGGAAGGATCACTGAGAAAAATACATACCTAACATAAGAAGAGTATGGATTCGTGATAAGATAAAAGATATTCGTAGACAGCATTATCTCTGTTCCTATCCGACTTATGAAGATGGCTTAGGTCGAAAATTTCGGCTTGAACGATGGCTGTGTTCCAGTACATATGAATAAGAAATGAAGTACCAGGGAATGTGAACTATGAGCATAAATTTTGTGAAGGAGGTGTTTTATATGAAGAGTACTCACTCTTCGATTTGTCAACAGATTTCGAAAAGAGGATCTAACTTTCTTCGATTACTGTCATGAATAAGCAGTGTATTTTCTTCACACCAAACTCCTTTTCTCATTCCAGGAAAATTGTGGAAGAAAGGACATTCACGTAGATGAGACAATTTCAGTTTCGAACAGTATATTGAATATGTTTAACATGTTGAACGAACAATATATTGAACAACAATGTTCCGATGATGTGTTCATTTCTTTAACTAGGAAACCAGTTCTAATTGAACCAAAGATCATGTGCGTGGAAGAAGGAAACGTCGAGAGCAAGCGTTTTTCAAGCACTTTTCACCTGGGAGGCCGGACAATTTTTCCAAATTAGAGATTCTTTGGCTTAGTTTTTTTATTTCTTAATATCTTTGCGTTTTATGATTACTTCGTTTAAAGAAAGTTCGATATTAACATCCAGAAATTGTAAGGATATGGAAGGTTTTGTAGAATATCTCTTATTTAGTCTGTAATATATCATACGCTGGGTACATCGAATATTTGGAGCAGAATGTTTTCGGTCCTTCGTGAAAAGTACTCGTATCGCCTGTGCCCCAGAACTACTATTATAAATATTTACCACCCGACTTTAGCTTTATTTTAGTGCACATTTCCTATGTGGTTTAAAAATTATATAACTTAAATACCATAAAGGATAAAAAAAATCGACCATTCTGCGTTGATCCCTCTTCTAGGGATGCACCAAGCATTCTGCTCAATTCGTAGTATCATGGAGAGAAATTAATCCTTGCTTGTAGTATACAATGACTTGTTTGAGCATACCGAAACATCAACGCGTTTTTTTCCGTGCCCTCAAAGAAGTCTGGTATCAATTTGCTTCCCTTCACATGTTGGATCTCTCTAATAATTGTTTTCTTAAGAAGTATTACAAAAAAAACATTTTACCGCCAACTTCACGAAGAAAACCCATAGCCTAAAATTTTAAGTTCTGCTACTTTTTTCTTATAATCACCATTTATATGGAACCAAGTAGATGACTCTGCGAGGTGCCATTCGCCTAGCAGAGGCTGGCTTGCAGGGGAATAGAAGGACCACCCCACTCGTAAAAATCAACGAACCAATTTTTTTGATAATACAATAAAAGATGTCTTTGAAGAAAGTGCCAGAAGCTACCAGTACTAGGTGGCAAATATTTTTCTGGTATTTTATACAAATTCTACGGGTAAAATGCATTGAAAAAAGTGACACTTTGTTCTATATTCGAATAGGAACCCATATTTTGAATGTGTTTTTAGTTTTTCATCACTGGATCAATTCGAACCGCAATAAAAGCTGACCATAAATTTGAAAAGTACTACTTTAGTACTCCAGTTTACTGACGAAGACTGTGAATCGACATAGAGAACTCAGAAATGAAATGTCCGGTTAATTCGTACGAAAGAGCAGCTATCACTTTCTAAGACCATCTCCAGTCATTTTCTCGTAAACCATTAAATTTTTGTTTCACTAACCTCATCTGTAGCGATATAGTAGCCTCACATTGTAGTTTATAGACTTTTTCTAGAGGAAGATGTCACGTTCAACGATGGTCATGTCAGGTGGTGATGTCATCGGCAATACTCCATTACTTCGACTGAATCGAGTTACTGAAGGATTGGACGCCACTATTGGTAACGTTCTTGGTTTTCGATCTTGGCTCTGAATTTTTTTATTTCTTTTCTATTTCGAAATTTGTATGACTTCGTAGCAGCATTTATTTCACTCAATTCGTTTTCTACCATCCACATCCACGAAGGTAGGTCTCCGAGTTCCACTCTGGGTTCGGATACTGCTTTGATATATTTGGCCTTCTTAATGAATGTCGCTGAATGCTGATCGCTTCGATTTTCCTTGTTATCCGATCTTGGAATTGCTTTGCCAGCTTCTGCCTTTGAAAATCGGTTGAAGCTGCTCAGAAAAGTCTGACACCAATTTCTCGAATCTAATCGAATAGTCGGCTAATTAGACTTATTATGCGGTCGAACGAGAGCTTTGTGCCTACCAAATTCCATCACTGTTACTGTGCTTCTAGCGCTCTGAGATGTTCAACTGGGGTACAGCCACAGGAATCCTGAGATATGAGCAAAACTCGGGATCTCAATTTAGCTTCTAATCATTGACCACCTTTTCCTGTGGGTCATGTGCTATCCACCACACCAACCGAAGCCTTGCTTTGTCTTTTTCTTAGCCATTTTCTTTACACTAACGGTGCTTGCAACAATTACTCGCCATCGGAAGCAATCTGGGAGCACAAATGGGCATTAAAGCTGAAGTTTTATGCTGAAGTTGCTGTAGAAATCACAATGGTTTGAATCACATCACAGAGATCACAATTTTAATTCGGGTCGGAAGCGCACGCGAGGGTCCGGGATGTGCTCCTACCTCAGTATACTCGTGATTGTATTTCACACAACACCCGGCCATGAAAAAGAGTGCGCACCAAACAAAAACTAAAACATTACTGAAATTATGTTTAGAAATTGGAACAACTGTTTTCCTGGGAGGTGATCCTGAGTGTCGGACTGCGATGTACAGCGGGGGATTCATGGCAGGGTCTCCCAAGCTGAAAAGGTGTCCGGCGTCTCCATCAGGAAGCCTAGCTAAGAGTGAACGAATACCAGGATCCACCACCGTCCTGGTATCAAACTAGTCACATGGCGGCAAATCTCCCTCTGATCCACTGCCTGTGGTGGCGAAGGCCAGGAGAAGACTTTGGCCAGGCTGACCTCGGGATTCCAGAAACCACAATGGCTTAGCCAGCAAATCTTCGAAAAATGGTGATTATGCTGGTGCCCGCACAACCAGTGAAAGTGGGCCATTCAAGTGTGTCAAGTGTCAATTAGAACCAGCAATAACACATTCAGTTGCTCTTTTGTTGATCAGCTAAAGGTCCTCTTTTTTTCTCACAAAAATTGTAGAATAGGTTTAAGTGGAGAAAATTTTGAGTAAAAGCAGGGTACATACACATTTTTTAAGATCTAATAGGTGGAGCTGTCGAAGTAGCACTTTTGAACAACTAAGTGGATTTTTACAACATTCTATTAGCACACAAAAGTCTTGTGTGATAAATGCAGGAACTCTTATCCTCTTATATGAGATGATCTGTATTGGCTAAAATCACATGTGGGTGGAAATAATAGTGGCCTCCAAATTCAAACAAATATATCTCAACTCACAATGGGTTTTGCTAACCGAAATAAGAACTTTGTAGTCTACAAATCATTGACTACAAGAACCAGTATTAATGTATTATCAAGTTGATAGCGGTAGCGTGTAGTGCTGTGGTCGGAGGCGCCCTGCAACATACACTTGGAATCGATCCCATCTCCCATGGTTCACCAACCACTTTCATCCTTCCGGGGTTGGCAAATTGGTAGCAAACTTGTCTGGGAGGTGGCTCGATACATCGGTAGGCTACCGCGAGTCATTCACAGAATAAGAGGACTTTTAATGATATGATTCGTGGATTACAGTGATACCAATGGCTTTAATTTTGACCAGAAAATTTTGTTATGAGCTGATAATGTTAGTCTAAACTGGAACAGCACAGTGATTCTTGGGCATGCATGATTGTATACAACTCACATTGTCCGCTGTGTGAGTGGAATCTAATAGCTAATTCTTTTAAGAAGCCATAACTCGAAGAGTGTCATGGTGATGTGCTGTAGTTTATAGCAACTATTTTATAACTCACGATCTTAACCTTTCTATTTACTGACTTTTTCTCTTTAATGGCAGGGTATGTTGCGAAATATAACTCGTATATAATGCTGAGATTAAAAAAGGCTTAAGATTGTGATTATAACTAAGTCTCAGCTTAACTGGGCTCAATCCCGATTTGGGCTCCCCAGATCAATCCCGTTGACGGGTGATCGCTGATTTATAACTGCTAGATGAATATCCCGTAGTTCTGTAATTTTTAGACGGTCCAAAAAAAGGGAGAAACAGTGAGCAAAAGTCTTGTAGGAAGGGAGTAAATTTTCCGTCTTCTTTTCTCTTAGATCAATAAAAGTTGGCTGGTAATTCTTGCTTCGATTTCATAAATCTTAAGATAACAACACAGATTTTCAGCAGTGAAACTTGAATATATGAATCCAGCTGGCTCAGTAAAGGATCGCATTGCGTTCAGTATGGTTGAAGCCGCTGAAGCTGAAGGAAAAATCGTTCCTGGGAAAACTGTGCTTATTGAGCCAACTAGCGGAAACATGGGAATAGCGCTGGCATACTGTGCTGCCCTTAAAGGGTACGTTATCTATACTTCACTGCATTGAATTTAAAAAACTCGAGTTCAAAGCAATGGCTAATTTACTCAGCTCAAATACTTTTTAATAAAAAATTCCTGTTTGTAGTATAAATTTCGTAGTAAAATGAGCTATTATCTCTTTTTAGATACAAACTTATTTTAACGATGCCGTCATCCATGAGCGTGGAGCGACGAGCTTTACTGAAAGCCTACGGAGCCGAGGTGGATGATAACTTTGTACCAGTCCTTTCTTTCGAATTCTTAGTCAAATATGATAGCAATAGATTCAGGCATTTTAATTTCTCAGTGGACAATTACTGTAAACTGCAGAACTTTGTTGCGAAGCGAAGTGAATTGGTTCCTCGTCCTAAAAACGACGCAATCAAAAACGTTTCTTATACACTTAAAAGCACTTTTACAACAAACAGAATTAGTCACATTAAAAAATCTTGGCAAAAACGGTTTGAATATATCGTTTTCTTGTTCAGCAATCGCGAGGTTTTTAAACAGCATACATTTACTTCCATAAAAAAACACAATACAATACAACGCTAGCTGACGTTTCGGCAGTACTTGCCATCTAGGTGTTCTTTTATACGGATACGCAAAGGTCTACCCGTTTCTCCAATATATTCATCTCCGCAATTGTTACAAGAGATCAGGTATATCGTACCTGAACTCACGCCATCGCCGTCCCTGCCGTAAGGGCAAATTACGCAATTTGTTGTTTCACACAGACGGTGTCATACAGGCGGTTGCGAACTAATTGGCGACGTAGAGTTTTCGGTGGTATTTCAACTATCGCTACCGATTCCTCTAGACTTGCCCTTCTTAAGCATCGTTTTATAGCTGCGCTTACTTCATCGCTTATAAAAGGCAACATAAACGGGATTTTGTCTTGGCCAAGTGTTTCGCGTGGGCGCGTCGTTCTCCTTGTAAACTTATTTCGTGGGGTTACTATTTCGTAGCCATTGGAGATGGCTATTTGCCGAGCCAAGTCGCGTGATTCTTCCTTTAGTTCCCTGGTAGTGCACACAGAGGTGGCTGTTCGAAACATGTTTCTCACAATCGCCCTCTTTGTGTGTGAAGGGTGGGAAGAAAGGAAATGAACAAGGATGTTTTTGTTACTTGGCTTTCGATACCACTTTGTCAGGTAACCGCTACTTGATAGGTTTGAACGTCCAAAAACGGAAGCCTGTTTTTTCTCGGTTTCTCCCGGGTGAACTTTATGTACTCAGACTGCTCGTTCAATAATTCAAAGCATTTGTCCATCTCCTCCTGCGTAGAGAAGACGACAAAGCAATCATCTACATATCTGCAGTAGAGTAGTGGCCGGAGATCGAGGACAGGGGCTTCTATCTTAGACATAAACACAATGGCAAGGCTTGGTGCCAATCGCTGTCCCATTGCCAACCCCCTTATTTGCGCGAAATATTTCCCAGACCATCTGAAAATCGAGCAGTTTAGACACTCCTTTAAGAGAGCCATTAGCTGCTGGATGGACAAGCCATGCATATTTATTCTTCCTTCATGTTCAACAAGAAGTTCAAAGATGGCTTGCATTGCGGAGTCATTCGACACGTTGGTGTACAGTAGATGGTCCTCCTTGAAATCCTCACTAATTTCATTCAACTTTTTTTCACCTTCTAACCTCCAGCTCACCTTCTAGGATCGCGCAAACTGGATGAAGACCGTAATAATGATAATTTTTAATAATATTTATGATGGCTTCTATTGGGTAATACAGTTCTTTCAAGGTTATTCTGACCAACCCAGATGCAGCGGTGAAAGGTGCGATTGAAAGAGCCCAGGATTTAGCTAAAGCCTTACCGAACTCACATATTCTTAATCAGGTTTTGATATTCATGGATTCTTATCGATTTCTCGACTACTCATTTGTTATCTCTGTGACTGTTTCATTTTTATGCTGACTTAATTTAGTTCTCAAATCCGGCTAACCCTCTAGCACACTATTTAACTACTGGACCAGAGATTTGGAAGCAAACAGGAGGAAAAGTGAGTGTGGAAGGAATAAAGTGTCGAAACCAACGTTCGTTATAAGTTTCACGAAGAACACTTTGATGTATTTTGGGAATTGGTCTAGATTCTAACACCAGCTAGAGCGCCAAAATTTCAAAAAAAGCAAGTTTTTCATGTTTTCATACCAGAAGCTCTTTTTAAAGCGACCATTCTACTTGCAATTTAGTGAATACCACGGAATATTTACTAGGTAAATTCTGGGAGGAACTTTCCAATGAGAATTTTTAAATATTAAAATAATTCTTTTTTATTTTTTGAGAAGTCAGCCAGATTTCAGAATAACAAATTGTGGTTTCAGGAACAAACAGTCTTCATATCACTTATATTCAGTGTTTTTGATAGAAAAAATACCAAAAAAATAACGGGGCATTCTTTTTATAAGGTGGGAATCTTCGTAGAAACGTCTCATGGATTGAGATCGATGTTTGATGGCCAAAACAACATTTTTTTTCTACCCCAAGTATCTACAACACTATGACGGCTTATTTGAATATTTAAGGTAGACATCGTCTGCTTTGGAGTAGGATCTGGTGGCACATGCACTGGTGTAGGTCGCTATCTTAAAGAACAAAATCCAAAAATAAAGGTGGCGCGTTTCCGGACATTTCTTGGAGTTTTCTTCTCCGAATTGATAGAATTCAGGTATATCCTGTAGAGCCATTCGAATCGTCGGCAATCAACGGTCTAGCACATAGTCCACATAAAATCCAAGGCACGTACTGGAAGACTATCTCAATTTTTGAAACGATTAGTAAAACCTGTTTATTTAAATCACTACGGAAAAATGGGCTACCACGGTCCAGTCCGTTCTATTCATCTTCTTCACAGCCGTTCTAGGTATGGGAATTGGTATGATACCAGAAAATCTCGATCGCACTCTCTACACCGAGGCCTTGCGGGTGCATTCAGACGATGCCATCGCCATGGGGAGGCGTCTTGCCCTCGAAGAAGCGATCCTTGGCGGAATCTCGTCCGGTGCAAATGTCTGTGCTTCTATTCAGGTATTTCATTTTCATATGTATTAAGGACTATGTCCAATCCTATTGGAATTCATAAATACTGTAATGGGAACTTTGACCATCATTTACCATCGATGAAGTGCTACATTCAAAATTACTAGCAAGAGACACAATATGGGTGGAGCTATATCACCTGTAGGCCAACTGATCATTTACTGATTTGTACAGAAGTCATTCAGCGCTCTATTCGGCCTTGTTCAACTATAGACAGAGTCTCGATGGACAGTCCATAAACAGTTTACAGTCACTTTAGTGAGGAATATATCCGCAACTCACACCTTATTCATAATACCGTTGAGTGAATATAGGTTTCACTTTACTACAAAATTGCTAAGCGTAAATTTGAAAGTTTTATCATATGCAAATGCTGGGTTAATATAAAGAAATTTTGGGATATTCCATAGACTTCAACGATCTACTGTTCTCGTCTTTCCCTAGAACATACGTGATATTGCGAGTATTTCAGAATTATGAAGTGGTTGTTAGGGTTGCAAAAAATTTTTAAGAAAAAAAAACAGTCAAATAAAAAGGATAAAACTCCCAGCGTTGATCCTGTGGGATGCGGCATGCAATCGACTTCATTAAGCATCAATCTTAACCTTTTTATTTACTGATACGGACTTGGGCTTCCCAGATCAATCCTGTTGACGGGTGGTTGCTGATGGTAGTGATCGATAGAACTAGCTGAGAAAACGTAACGAAGGACCCGCACTGCATAGTGGTAAATGAGTTACTCCACGGAAAGGATAATATCGCACTCGTTCCCCAACGCAGACAGCTGCGGTCCGGACTTTTGCAAATATCTCAGCATTATAGTTCATTAAGCATCGTTAGAGGTGATTAAATGCATATCTCGTCTTCAAAATAACTCGCCGTGCTCCAGCCGATGTATCGAGCCAGTGTTGCTATCCTCCTAGACAAGCATGGTAGCCAACACGCACACCCCCGAAGGATGGAAAGCTTGGTGAGGCCGGGGAGCGGGAATCGATTCCCTGTGTATTGCAGGTCCCCTCTGACCACTGCGCTACACACGACCACAAGAAAAAAGGCAATAAAAAATGTCTCTGGGATCGAAAGTGAACTGGATTCTGCCGATTAATGAAACTAGTAGAGAGAAGTTACCAAAGACAACAATCGGACAGCTTCGCCGATTCGATTATCATTCTAGCAACAATAAAGTTAGTTTTAACGTTTTGTTTTCTGCCTTCTATAATTTTCATGGCAGGTTACTAAGCGAAATACAACCACAATGTTGCTGAGATATTTGCAAAACTCTGGACCGCAGGTGTCTATGGTGGGGAACGAACGCGCTATTATCCTTTCCGGGGAGTAACGCGTTCACCACCACACCATGCGGGTCCTTTGTTTCGCACGTCTCTCAGCTATTTCTATCGATCTTTTTTGCCACAGCAATCACCCGTCAGCGGGGTTGATCTGGGGAGCGCAAATCGGCATAGAACCCAGTTAAGCTATGGCTGTAGTTGAAATCACAATGTTTTAACGTTTTGTTTTCTGCCTTCTATAATTTTCATGGCAGGTTACTAAGCGAAATACAACCACAATGTTGCTGAGATATTTGCAAAACTCTGGACCGCAGGTGTCTATGGTGGGGAACGAACGCGCTATTATCCTTTCCGGGGAGTAACGCGTTCACCACCACACCATGCGGGTCCTTTGTTTCGCACGTCTCTCAGCTATTTCTATCGATCTTTTTTGCCACAGCAATCACCCGTCAGCGGGGTTGATCTGGGGAGCGCAAATCGGCATAGAACCCAGTTAAGCTATGGCTGTAGNCTCCCCGGAAAGGATAATAGCGCGTTCGTTCCCCACCATAGACACCTGCGGTCCAGAGTTTTGCAAATATCTCAGCAACATTGTGGTTGTATTTCGCTTAGTAACCTGCCATGAAAATTATAGAAGGCAGAAAACAAAACGTTAAAACATTGTGATTTCAACTACAGCCATAGCTTAACTGGGTTCTATGCCGATTTGCGCTCCCCAGATCAACCCCGCTGACGGGTGATTGCTGTGGCAAAAAAGATCGATAGAAATAGCTGAGAGACGTGCGAAACAAAGGACCCGCATGGTGTGGTGGTGAACGCGTTACTCCCCGGAAAGGATAATAGCGCGTTCGTTCCCCACCATAGACACCTGCGGTCCAGAGTTTTGCAAATATCTCAGCAACATTGTGGTTGTATTTCGCTTAGTAACCTGCCATGAAAATTATAGAAGGCAGAAAACAAAACGTTAAAACATTGTGATTTCAACTACAGCCATAGCTTAACTGGGTTCTATGCCGATTTGCGCTCCCCAGATCAACCCCGCTGACGGGTGATTGCTGTGGCAAAAAAGATCGATAGAAATAGCTGAGAGACGTGCGAAACAAAGGACCCGCATGGTGTGGTGGTGAACGCGTTACTCCCCGGAAAGGATAATAGCGCGTTCGTTCCCCACCATAGACACCTGCGGTCCAGAGTTTTGCAAATAATAAAGTTAGTAGTGAGCTAATACAGCCATGGCGAGTGTGGCAGAGTAGTTGGAGCCGCCTTGCAATACACACATGAGATCGGTCTCCGCGCCCCATGCCTGCTACAAATTGGTACCGGACTTGCCTAGGAGGATAGCAGCACTGGCTCTCCACATCAGTAGGCCACTGTGACTTATTGTAAAGGCCAGCTATGTATTCAGTCATCTCCGATGATTAATAATGAAGTCGAATGCATGGCGCATCCCTCAGGGATTGATCAACGCCGATAGCCTCCTAGCTTCCTCCTTTATCCTTTCTAATACTGCCATTAGCTAAATAAAATTGTATTACCCATTCCCGTCAGTCGAATGACTCTAATGCCAGTAAAGTCTCCTTCTGCTTTTGTTACACACAACTGTAATGCACTGGGTTATGCTCGCTCACAGAATACAAAACACGGTTGTGGTTAAAACGCACAGATTGTATCCGACACATCCGATTTTCGATATTTCGGTGTCACAGTAAGGCTTTTGAACATTCGTCTTCAGTGAAGATGGTTTGGATTCCATCTTTAGAATGCATGAATCATGGTAGCACTTATTGATATCAGATTATAAGACTAATTTGATCAACAGAGCAAAAACAGGTTGCTGTCAGCCATCGACTTTCACTCTCATGTTTTCGCATTCCAGTTTCTGTGTGACGTTCTTAAAGACAGTTGTAAATAATTTTGGCGAGATGGCATCGCATTGTCGCACCCATCTCCTTGGGTCGATGGCAAACAACTGAAAAAGTCGGGAATAGGGAATACATAAAACTTTTGGGTGATATGTAAGAAAAGCCGAGAAACTAAACGAAAACCTCGATATGTCGCATGGTGCGGTGGTGAGCGCGATACTCCCCGGAAAGGACAATAGCGCGTTCATTTCCCACCACAGACACCTGCGATCCGGAGTTTTACAACAAATATCTCAGCATCATAGAGGTTATATTTTGCAACATACCAAAGAAAACCGTATAATATATGTGTACGAAGGTTTTCTATTGGTTGATATATATATGTACATATATATATATATATATATATATATAAATATATATATCTTGTAGAAATAATAGAGCAACTCCGGTGAAGTAGAAATCTACATAAACTTAATCGTAATTAATCGTAGATTGTTTTTATTGCTCATCACTAGGACACATGTGGAGAAGTGGTTAGAGACGTACGCAGTACACACGCGGTCTTTGGTTCGACTTCGGCTCCGGGAAAACCAAGCCTTTGTCCTTTCGAGGCTGGCAAATTGCTACCATGACTATGTTGGAAAGCATTGAATGCATCGAGAGGCTCTCATAATAAGTCAATCCATAGGTCCAATATGCATCCAATCACCACTACGATACCATGGATTGAGCCGAATATACGGCGCATCCCTAAAGGGATAAAGGACAAACGCTTTTACGCTCTTTATTCCGCAATGTTGTATCTTATTTAAGAATTTACTTAATGGACTACATATGCCTTTCCAAAAGCCAACGATGGCGCGACTCTTGTTGAAATCATTTCTTTGTCTCTCCTGAATAGCTGTCCTTTTAGCTTGCAAAACGCCCTGAAAACAAAGGAAAACTGATCGTTACCACTATCAACAGCTTCGGAGAACGTTACCTGTAAGGATCCTCACGGTTTTTTTCCTTTTACCATAATATTACAATGTGTCTCCATTATAATATGTTATAACACTATTATAAAGCGTAACACAAGATATTCTATCGAGTTTTCAGAAGTAAACAACAGAAAACGACGGTTCTTCCTCACAAAGGGGTCTAGCGGTAATTAGGTGCGAGACGACGTGGCACTTTCCTCTAGCAAGTTATCGCGGAACAAAAGCGACCTTGTGCTTTCCTAAGACCCAGGCAGAGTCAAAGCATGGATTGCCAGTTTGTGCTCGGCCGATTTGGCAGATATTTCGTGTGCGTGCGAGGACGTGTTCGTGCATGCGTGTGTGGGTATGTCATCCTTTGTGTGGACTGTGTTCAATTTGGTGAAAAGTTCAAAAGCCAGCAATAAAGTGAATGGTAGGTATACGTGAGGCAGCTAGCAGGTGCCTCCTACAAAGGATATCCCGGTGAACTCTCAGAGAGACTGGCAAGCCACCCGTGCGTAAAGTCAGTTCTCATGTTCAAACTCAGCAAGTTATAAGTGGACATCAAACTCTAAACACAGTAAAATAAATGAGCCTCACTCCCTTGAGGCCGAAAGAGCCCCGATACGATACGACAGCGCTGGAGAGGAGGATTACGGAAATAATGCTGAAACTTCAGGGCCATTCAAGGCTACCTAAATTTAGAAGGACCACAGTGACGATCTGTACCTACAACGCAAGAGCACTTGTATCTGCGTCCTCGATACAGGTGATCAGACAGCCAAGAATGATAAGGTACGATGTCAGCGAAATGGCCATGACGAGAAGGAGGCTACCCATTCAACACCGTCTATGATACAGGAGAAGAACTGTTCGTCAGAACACGCGACAATAGAGGAGTCGGCAGTGTCGGAGTTCTCGTCAACACGGGTTTGTTCGTGAACAACGATTCATTCGAACAACAACTCGAATCGAACATTTACGGTTAAAAACATGTGGATCTCTACCGGTATTGACAATCTTAGGCCTCTGCTCATCACCGACATCAAACAATGGCGAAGACGAAGTCGAAACGTTCTATATGGGTATGGAAAAATTCTACAGAGAAGACTGATTTTCTTTTAGATAACCCGTTATCACGTGTAGTGCCTTGATTCCAGCATATCTTGCATTTGATTCACCTTCGTCGCATTCATTGTTCGCAAGTCTTGGAACATTTCGGGTGTTGATTCGGCTACTGTTTGAGAATCTAGTCTGCTCCACGAATATCGCAGAAAAGTGATCAAGTCGATTCCCACTGCAATCTTGGAAGTAGCAGGGCTAAGGCGTTTCCACATGAATAGGACGAGAATATTGGGGCTGGGGTCGAACTAGCGGTTTTTGCCTTCTGACGGACGGCATAACTAATCTCTCTATCGTGCATCAGAGAAAAGACCACGCGTTCCTTGAGATAATCATTGGTGATATATTTATTTATGTGATCTTATAAACTGATCTTCTTAAGCTGACGCGAGGTTGGCACAGATCTTCGTTGTCGTTGTCGTTGTCGTTGCGGGATTCCCGCACGTAACATCACGGCTCTGAGGAAGGCGAAGTCGCCGAAACGTCAGCCATCATTCAATAACATCAAAAACAACGACAACGACAACGACAACGAAGATCTGTGCCAACCTCGCGTCAGCT